AATTGCTGCCCGGATCGGCCGCCTGCCTTTCCTGAAGGGAAGCGATGCCCTTCCTGCCTCCCGCCTCAGCACCGGCTCCAGTTTCCAGGGAGACAGCTGCTGGGAGAGCAGTGGAAGCACTGGGGACGGTGGGATCGCACAGCTCCACACCAGGCAGTGGGTGGCCCGGGGGCCCCCCCCCCCCCCTTTCCCCGCAGCATCCTCCTCCTCCGGGTGTGGGAGAAGCCCACGCGTGCCCGCAGACCCACCGGCCTGGGGAAGCGGGGTCCTGCCCGGGGGGAGAGGGCCGCCTTCGGCCCTCCCCTCCGCTTCTCCCCTTCCCCAGAGCCCTGCGAAGAGGATTCATAGCCCGGGGTGCAAACAGCCGAGGAGGGAGGGGCGGGCTGCTCGGGAAGAGCCCCTGGAGATGGCGTCCAGGGGAAAAATCCAGAGATTTCCCTTGAAAAGCGATCTCCCTCGGCTGCGTGGGTCCCCGCGGAGCCCGGCCGGGTTGCGAGGGTTGATCTCCTCCAGCCGAGCGAGGCACTGCGAGGAGATCCGGGCTGTCCAAGCCCGGAGGGCTGCGGTGCTGGAAACACCAGGTCTTCAGGTCCAAAAAGCTTCTGAGACGTCTGGTGCTGGTGGTCACCCTGGGGGTGCACTGGAGGGGCCCTGTCCTGCTTTTCCCGGTGACACGGTGCACCTGCGGCGTGCACGGCTTGTTCCTGTGGAACACAGCCTTGACCTCTGCCCACAAGCACGTGCACAGCGGCGCTTGCAGAGCTTGCAGGAATTGGGGCTGGAAATCAGGAAGCGAGCTGTGACGCTGGGTCTCGTGCCCGCAGAAAGGCGAGTCCCGCCGTGAGGCTGCAGCTAGGCTGCACCTCTCCGGCCCGGCGGCTGCGGCTCGGTCCCCCATCCGACAGCGACGTTGTCCTCGCCCTGGACTCAGGGGACGAGAGGCGAGTTCTCCTGCCCGATCTCCGCTGGCGTGAGAACACCCGTGTGGCTGCAGTGATCCCCAGCCTCAGACCCAGGGACCTCATTTCCTCTGCTGCCCAGGTTGTTCTTTATCAGCATACCTTAATTAACACCTGCCTCCTTCTTCATCCCCTTCTAGGAGCGGTGAAGTGCCCAGCCTGCCGGTTCGCCGCCCTCCCTGCCTGATGGAACCAGCGCTGGCAGAGGACCCTCCTCGACGTAGCTGGCTGAGCCCGCTGCAGCAGCGCTAGCGGGACGTGGATGGCGGCGTGTGCGGCCCCGGGAAGGACGATGGCTCAGGGCATCGGGAGCATCAACACCGACTACAAGGACTGGGAGTGGAGCACCGATGCCGGGGAAAGAGTCCCAGCGTGGAGACGGTGCCGAAGAGCGGAGAGAGCCAAGGAAACGGCCTGAGGGCCACGTCGGCTTTGGGAGCCGTATTCATCGTGGTCAACGCCGCCCTCGGGGCTGGGCTGCTCAACTTCCCCGCTGCCTTCAGCATGGCCGGCGGCGTGGCCGCGGGCATCGCGCTGCAGATGGTGAGAGGTGGGGAAGGGACAATCCCCCATCCTGCCCTAGGAAGGGCATGGGGGGGCTGTCGTGTGGAGCCCCAGAAGGGGCTTGGGGAGGACCTGGCTCCTGGGACGAAGCCCTCTTGGGTGCTGGACCCCAGAGATGCTCTGTGTGTTCAGGGGTGGCTGCCCAGGGTGGCTTTGGGGACCTCGTCACTCTGTTGCCTCAGCGTCCCCTCCCTGTCTCTTCCCCACCCAAGTGCATGTTGATCTTCATCATCGGAGGCTTGGTCATCCTGGCATACTGCTCACAGGCCAGCAACGAGCGGACCTACCAGGAGGTCGTGTGGGCCGTCTGCGGGAAGGTCCCTGGCGTGCTGTGCGAAGTGGCCATTGCTGTCTACACCTTTGGCACCTGCATCGCTTTCCTCATCATCATCGGAGACCAGGAGGACAAGAGTAAGTGTGTCCCACGGCAGAAAAAATAACCAGTTGCTGTCCCTTCGGCTGTAAGGGGACAACCCAACCACCCCGGTTGTCCCCACAGTCATTGCTGCTCTGGTGATGGAGCCCGAGGAAGCCGGGAGCAGCTGCTGGTACACAGACCGCAAGTTCACCATCAGCATCACCGCTTTCCTCCTCATCCTGCCCCTCTCCATCCCCAAGGAGATCGGCTTCCAAAAATATGCCAGGTGGGTGGTGAGAGCCCTCTGGGGCTGGGAGCTGGGGTGGGCCAGCCGGCATCCACCTCAGCACGATCCTGGGGGACAGGGAATGAAAACACCATTGGTTCTAGCGCCGCATCTGCCCGCTCACCCCTGAGGGGTTGGATATCTCCTCCTCCGCCTTCCTGTGCCTCAGTTTCCCCATCTGGGAAGCAGAGGAGCTGCTGAGCACTGTGAGGCCGCAGCATCGTACTCCGGGGCTTGCGTCCCTCCCTTCCACTCGCTGGAGGAGGCGGGGAGAGCTGCTTTCAGCTGCGTTGTCCCCTGCCTTTGGAGCTGGCCATCCAGCAGACAGCAGAGCCAGGAAGGGTCCCCGGGCCACATGGTCTGCAGGCCAGCCCTGCTCCGCCAAGCATCTGGCTGCTTGTGTAACCTGGCTGCTGGAGCTGGACCAGGGCCACCGAGGAGCATCACTCCTCTACCGCTTGCCTCTCTGCTGCCCAGAATCCAGCCTTACTGGCAGGTCCGCCATGGGACAGCACAGTGAGATGGCATCCACATCTCTTCTGGGGACAGTGGGTGACAGGGCCTGGCATATCCCCGTGAGAGCGGAGAGCAGGGGTGGTCCTGGTGGGAAGAACTGGGGTGGCCTGGGCTGTGCAGGGGGGAAGATGGGGCTGGAGAGGCTGGGAGGAGACCCTCCACGGAGCAGGCTGACGGTCTCCTGTCTCCTCTTGCTAGCTCCCTGAGCGTGATTGGCACCTGGTACGTCACGGCAGTCATTATCATCAAGTACATCTGGCCCGACAAGGAGCTGGTGCCTGTAGAGATCCCCACCAGGTGAGCGCAGGAGACCCGATGCTGGTGGTGGCCATCACAGCACTCCAGAGCCAGGCAAGGGGTGCGGGAGCAAGGGCTGCAGAGGCTGGGGACAAATCCTTCATGAGTCCCGTCCCTGGGCCTGGGGACGCTGCACGTTGCTGCCGGAAGCTCGCGAGTGGCTGCGTCTCTGCGTGTTTCAGAGGAGCAGGTAGTGAAGGAAAGGAGAAGGACCTCTTGGAGGTCCCCACGGCTCCATCGCAGGTTTGGAGGAGCGCTGATTGACTGTTAGCTCTGATATAGCTGGGCCCAGAGTTCCCTGTGCAGTGCTTGGGCTCACCCAGCAGTAAGGACCGGGTCTGTTTTAGGATTATTTTGGTTATTTCCCTGGCCAGCACAGCCCCTGTGGCTTGTCCCCTCCCTCGCGGTGCAGGGATGTTTCTGGACCCAGTGCAGGCAGTGGGATTTTTAGGGCAGAGCAAAGCTTAGACCAGTTTTTGGCACTGCCTAAGCGGATCCTTATTTTTTTACTGATACTTTTGTTCTTGCGAGTCCTCAATTTTGACTGGTTCTGTCTTGGTGAAAGACCCTGGTCCCAGGAAAACCTCGCTTCATGCAAAAGCATTGTCCTGAGTGGGGGGACACGGTCACTGCCGGGGGCAGGTCACAGAGGAGTGAGCCTGTTGCTGAGCACCCCTGGCTCTGACCGGTGGGTGCTTCTCTCCCGCCAGCCCCTCCACCTGGATGGCTGTCTTCAACGCCATGCCCACCATCTGCTTCGGGTTCCAGGTAAGGCCATGAGCCCGGCGCTCCCCTTCTCACCCTGCAGCCTGGGTGGGGGACCAGCGTTGTCCAGGGGTGCTCAGCCAAAACCCTCCCCACGTGCTCACTTTGCAAGGGGGCTGAAGCCAGTTTAACATCTCACGGATCAATTTTACCCCAGCTGGGAAGTCCAGGGCAGCCTGTCCCCCCCCCTTTTCTTCTCCAGCGACAAAGCCGGGGGATCACGGTATCATGACAAACCCGGGGATACCACGCGTGAGATCCCGCGTGGCTCCCCGTGACTCCGGCTCAGCCCATCGCGTGTCCCCGCTCTCTCTCCGTGTCCCCGGCAGTGCCACGTGAGCAGCGTGCCCGTCTTTAACAGCATGAAGCAGCCAGAGGTGAAGACTTGGGGGGCAGTGGTGACGGCAGCCATGGTGATTGCTCTCTTCGTCTACACGGGCACTGGTGAGCGAGGGGATGCCGCGTGAGTGTGGCATGGTCCTCGCGGAGGCTGTGAGCTTCTGGAGGGCAAGGACCTTCTGGTCAGCAGAGGGACAGAGCGGGAAGGAAGGGGAGTCTGTCTCACCCTGCCTGTGATGTGTCCTGTGCCATATCCATCCAAGTTCAGTCCCTAAAACACACTTGGAGGAGGCTCGTCCCTGACTGCTGACTGCTCCCTTTCTGGCAGGCGTCTGCGGCTTCCTGACCTTTGGAGCCGGTGTGGAGCAGGACGTCTTGCTGTCCTACCCCTCCAACGACATCCCTGTTGCCCTTGCCCGGGCCTTCATCATCCTCTGCGTGCTGACATCCTACCCCATCCTGCACTTCTGCGGCCGGTGAGCAGCGGGAGGAGGCAGGGGCTGGGGTGGGCAGGAGGGGCAGCACGGGGAAACACCTCTGTCCCGGGTCTGTGCCTGCAGGGCTGTCTTGGAGGGTCTCTGGCTCCGCTACACCGGGGTGACGGTGGAGGAGGACGTGGTTCGAGAGCGGAGGAGGCGCCTGCTTCAGACCATCAGCTGGTTCCTCCTGACCCTCCTCCTGGCTCTCTTCATCCCCGACATCGGCAAAGTCATCTCTGTCATCGGGGGCTTGGCCGCCTGCTTCATCTTCGTCTTCCCAGGTAGGGCATCCTGGGATGCTCAGGGGCTGGCAGAGGTCTCTTGGCCTTGTGCGTTGACGAGGGAGAGGGTGGGATGGGGATGCAGGAACCAGGAAGTCTTTAGAGAAGGACAAAAGCATGGCATGAGGTTGGTTGGCAACCTAACTATTTTGACTGGACTTTGTAATGGGGAGCACAGCTCCATGCCTCTGGGGTGTCTGCTCAGTCCTCGTCTGGGTCCAATTTGCCTCCTCTCCCTTTCAGGGCTCTGCCTGATTCAAGCCAAGCTCTCTGAGATCCAAGAAACCAGGGCAATCAGGTAACCAAAATGCCCTTCCCCCTTCCCCTGGCGATATTGGGGTGAAGGTCCCCTCTCAACGCACCCTGTTTGCCTGCATCCGCAGCTGGTGGGCCCAGGTCAGCTACGGGGTGTTCATGGTCACCCTTGGAGCCTTCATCTTCGGGCAGACCACTGCCAACGCCATCTTCGTGGATCTCACAGCCTGACTCCTCCAGGCTGGACCGCACTGTTGCTGCTGTGGGGATGCAGATTTCCCCAAGGACCAAAGGGAAGCAAGGAGAAAACACGTTGGCGTGTTGGGAAGATCCAAGAGGGGTGTTGTAATCTGGGGCCTGGCTGAAAGAGCCCTGCAGTGGTTTGTATCTCGTTGTCTTAACGCACCAGGCAGTCAGGCTTCTCCTCTCAGCCCTGACTCCCTGGTGAAGCCAGAGCATCACTACAAGGGGACCTGGGAGCCCTTTCTGCCCCCATCACTACCCTAAACATCACTGAGAGGTCACGGCAGAGGTTTGCAAAGGCACGCTGCTCTCGTCCGTGTAACCCTGTGTTGGTGGAGCTTCCCTCCACAGCTTAAACTCCTTCTTCCCCCAGCGCTGGAGGGAGACAGTATGTCTTGCATAAAGGGAACTAGTAATTGTGTTTATCAGTCAGGGCGACATCCCCGTAGTCCTCTTATGTGTCGGTGTTTGGTTTAGTTGGAACTCTGCTTTCCCGTGGCTCCTGTTGCCGGTCTCCCACCCTTACTCCTACATCTGCCTGCGCCTGGGCTGCGCTTTCTGTTACCAAGTGGGACCGTGGCCTTCAGGCCGATTGGTTTTTTTTGAGGATTGGGACGAGCCCGGGCTAAGGACACACCGGCGCAATGTTTCCCCTGCCAGGGGTTGCTCACTCGCTAGAGAAGGTGCTGTGGCTGCACTGGCCTACTGGAGACACTATGCTAGAGCAAAGCTCTTCTCCAAATTTCCAATCTAATTCTTCCAGGAGGTGGCCAGGGAATGGGACTGTGCCAAATGTAGGGTTTAAGGGATGCTTTGGGGATAAAGCAGTCAGTATTAATCCGTTTTATATTATTCCCTTGGTCGTTTATACTCTCTGTGGCTGGTGCTGCTCTGGGCTGTCCCTCTGTTGCCTGTCTGGATGATGGTTTCACTTCTGCTTTTGCTGGGTTGAGCAGTTCCCCCAGCTGCAAGATTTGGTTGGGGGAGTCAAACTTCAACAGCTCTTGTTCAGTCTTTGAGTTTTCTTGTTTGGCTTCTAAAACCCTGTGGGAGGGAGGAATTCATGTGTATCTATTGCTGCATCTGTGATGAGGGTCCAGCCCAGCTTTGTGCAAAACCTGGCTTTGCCCCTCCTGCGTCTTTTGGAAGCAGCCCAGGCTGCCGTAGGGAGAAGGTGACCCATGGCATGCTTCTGTACTTCTCCCCGTGGCCCTCTCCCTTTGCGACCAGCGGCGGTGGGTGGGAGGACAGCATGTGGAAACGTGTGGTC